TTTGCATCCAATCCATACTCAAAAATCTAAATTTGCTGATCCTAACCTTTAAAGCTAAAATGACTTCGAAAAAAAAACCCTAATTCCTAATAAAGCCTCGAGCAGCCTCTTTGAAGTCCATTAGGAATAGCCTTCGACCAATAGGAATGAAGATCTCCATTCTTTACCTTCATCCACCCATGTCTTACTTTCATCCCTCCTAATAAGCCTCCTATTAGTTAAGATTTTTATCTTTAGGCTCTAATCTCTTCTTAAGGCTTCATACTAAACATTTAGGTCCTATAATTTTTTTAAATGCTATAATCAAAATAGATAAAATTAAAAATAAATTTTTTTATATTCACTCTCTTTAAATTAATTTATTAACCATTCTAACATGTACCAAGATTTATGAACATATTATATATCCTAACTAATTTTTACATATTATAAGCAATTATAGTACAACATTGTTTTATGAGAAATTTTTGGCAAGCCTTTTTCAAGCTACTAAGGACACAACTTATTATGTCTACGACCTTTTATTTCTAAATAGATAGACAAATATAGCATGAAAATCAAATCTTAAAGGATATGTTATAAACATTCATAGGAGTTTGCTATAATGACCAAAATGAATATTTGAGGCCTTTAGAATTTACTTATAATAATAGTATTTAAGCAAATATCAATCATTCACTATTCTTCTTTAATATTGGTTAGTATCCAATTATGCCAATAATTCTCCATTTTCATATTGATACCAACAACCCAACAATAGAGGAGTTTATACAATAGCTTACAATGGCCTTATAAGAGGTATGATACCACCTTCTTACTACATAGAATGGAGAAAAGTAGTATGTGGATAACCATTGGCAGCATAAGATATTTCGAGAAGATGATCAAATATTATTTTCTAATACCAACTTGCCACTTGCTACATCACCCCAAATCCGTAATTTGGCACCTCAATGGCTTGGACCTTTCTACATTTTTGTAGTGATTTTTAATATCGTATGTCACCTTGAGCTTTTTCCACATACTTAGATCCATCTAATCTTCCATGTTTTACAGCTCAAGGAGTTTAATATTAAAGCAAAGTACTTTCCAGACTAATACCAACCACTACTACTAGTTGTAATTGATGAGTAATAAGAATATGAAGTAAACAGTATTTTGGAGCATTGCTACCATTGCCATTATAATGGATGTCTACAACTTTAGTATAAAGTCTTTTAGAAAGATTATTCCATCCATGATGCAATATGAGAACTTATATAGAACCTCATTCATTCCTAAGAAAAAATTTAGAGATACCATTAGAAGCAAAATAAAGATGTTCTACATTAGTGGAAGAAAATTAATTATAACAAGGTATAGATAAGATATTTGTATTGTTGACATATAGGAATAGATAGTTGGAACTATGTTTAAAAAGTTTATAGAAGTTTCTAGAATTAGAACTAGGTTATTGGGCTATGTAGGATCCACCATAGAACATTTTGGAAATGGCTTAGGATAATTATCTAGGTGGAGCCTACTATAGAACATTCTGAAAAGAGCTTAAGATGGTTATCTAGGTGAGATCCATCATTAAAAATATTCTAAAAAGTTCCAGGATGGTTGGACAAAATATAAATAGGACTGGCCAAGGTCATTTAGGCATCTAGTCAGGTATGGCTTTAAACCCTTTCTCTTAGTAAAGTTTGGTTTTGTATATTTCTGTTGAGTTTTGTTCTATTTTCTTTTATTGTAGCTTGCTTTGTTTTCTCTTGTAATAGGATTTATATTGTTATGGATTAAAAGAGTCTTAGATTTTCAAGATAGTTTGATCCCATTTTAATAATGATATTATTGAGTCATTAATAATCTACACATATCTATGGTGTTTTGTTTTGTTTTGTTTTGCTTTGTTTCTTTCTTTACAAATAAGATAGGAACTTTTGTTGGAGATTTTGAATGGCATATGAAATTTTCAGCTAAGTTCTTGTCAATTTACTCCTTGAAAGCAACCAACTTACTTCATAATAAGCTATAAATTAACCAAAATGGCAATTGAATTTTTCGAAGATTAATTAAATAATCATAGAGATATTACTCTGAAAATAAATATGTACATTTTTTTTAAAAAATATATCTTGATAATCTTCATATTGGCTTGGATTGCCACTTGAAGTCTTTCTACTATGAAATATAGGTGTGGTATAAATAACAAAAGATGACTATTTTTTTGTAACATATACAAAAGCTCTTCTCTTTATTAATAAAGATTTCTATCTAGACTTATGACTTTTTATTTTGATAACAAAAGTTTGGATTGTGCTATGAAAAAAATTAATATTATAAAATATCTAGTTTATTTAAAAATTATACTTTTTTAGCCATGATAAATCTTAAATAATTGGATTAAAAATAGATATGATAATATTAAATATTATTAAGCTATTTTTACTATTAATTATTATATTTTTAAGAAAAAATTTATGAATAATATCTCTTAAAGATAATATATATTTATTAATAATTTTTACATGTATAAAATTAATTTTCTTGACAAAAGATATTTTTATTTTTTAACAATGTCTTTATTTATAAAACAAATTGAAGCTGCTACATTTGTCAAGGCAAAGACTTTGCAATTTTTTGGTCGTCTAAGAACATTTATTATAAATTAAGGTGATGGATCTAAAGAAAGAATATGATCTTTATTATATATTACACAAGATTTTAACTACATTTTCTATTGTAATTGGACATTTTTTTTTTTTTTTGATATTTTGTCTTCTTTATAAATTATGCTACTCATTTTGTAATTGTGTTGCTTCTTTGGACAATATTGAGTCTTTTCTTGCTTAGTGAGAGATTTAAAATTTATATTATAATTTTTATAGGTTCAAGCTTTAATAAATAATTTTTTAAAAACTTAAGAATTGTTATCATGACTTAACTTATTCTTATCTAACCTAATTTTTGTTTATAGTATCTTTTAAAAAGTTAATTGTTACATGCAATAGCTTAAGCAATAAATTGTATTAATGAATCTATTATTGGTATTATCAGTAATAAGTCTTTGGCATTATCTTTTAATCTACATTAAAATTAATTAAAAAAACTTTATCATTTCAATCTATATTGCAAGCAAGATTTTAGAATTCAACAACATATATAGTTATTGATTGTGATCTTTATTATAAAGATAGGATTTGATTTTTGCTGCCATTGTTTAATTATTTTTTTTAAATATGGGCATAAATATTCTTAAGAATAAATTTAGATCATATAAGAGTAATGAATCATATTCCATTAAAGGTGCAAATTAAGAGAAAGTACTTCTAGATAGAATTGTGCTTATAAATTCAACTTGGTTAAATCCATCAAAATATTATGAAAGATGTAACTTTCAATAAAACTTGACTTGCTGTAAAAATTCTTAAAATTTTGATACAATTCTATCAAAAAATTTTAGCATATATAATAGTAAGAATTTATAAATTCAATTGTTAAATTGATCTACTTCTTTCAACTATAGAATTTCTTAAAGTCAATATTGAACCTTTTTGTTCACTTTTTTCATAAGCATAGACATAGTACTTTTATAATTGGTATTGATAATATGTAAAATTTCTACATGAAGAGTTTTAACAAACTTGTGAAGATTTATAATAAATGAAATTCTACTTTTACTCCTACTAAGTAATGCATTTATAATTTTTTCTTCCATTTATATGATAGATTACTTTAATAATTTATAAGTCAAATTGAACAAAAGTAATCCGCAATATCTATTATCAAATAAAAATTTCCATAAAAAAAAATATTCTATTTTCTTTTAAAAAAGAATCAATGTGAAAAAAACAAAAAAAAAAAACATTAACTTGAATCTAAATGTAATAAGTTTTTTTACAATATATTATCAAATTTATTTATATCCATTAATTTTAATCTAAATTTTTTAATCTAAATAAATATGTATATCTATAATTGAGTGTAGTAATGTTAAACATCAATAAACAATATTCACAAACAATGATGAATATAGCAAAGTCCAAATTTAATTTTTTTAATTTTATGGATTTTATCTTTAAAAACCTCCAAAGTAAGCAATGCCTCTCAACTCCACTTATTAAGTAATGAACAAAAAGGTGAACAAAAAGATTCAATATTGACTTTAAGAAATTCTATAGTTGAAAGAAGTAGATCAATTTTACAATTGAATTTATAAATTCTTGCTATTATATATGCTAAAAAAGACAACCACAAGGAGCTGCCATGTTATTACTATTTGCCCTTTTAGACCCCGTTTCTCTCTCCTTTCAACAATTATGGCAAATATTAAAAACTACACAACAATAATCACCCAATTAAAGCTTCTATTATTTCTGGTATATATATATAATAATATAATATATATATATATATATATATAGATATGTATGTAACACTATAGGATGTACTTATAACCTAATTCTCTAAACATTTACATATATAGTTAGTAAAAATTCACTCTATTGGACAGAAAAAATATAAGAACTTTTCAAAGCAATCTCCAAAAGTCCTATGTTCTTAGATTTACTTATCTTTTGGTTTCTTCTTTATAACTTTTTAAAATACTTCTTTCACACTCTATCTTCTATCCAAGCTGTTTAATGTAATATAGTATTTTTTATAAATATTGTGCCAAAAAGTCATTTCAAAAATCGAAATCATTATGTTGATGCTTTAAAAATCAATATTTTTTATTATTTTATTACAAAATATTCTGACTATATTATAAACCTAACTAGAATTGTTAATTTAGAGAATTTTTAAGTTAAGGTTCTATTAACAGAACTTAAATTGTTTACTTGATGAGTTGTAAGATTTATAACACCACGACAGAAACACTAGAATTATAACACAATAGTAATAACATAAGAGTAATAACATAAGAGTAATAACACAAAAGGATAGCAGCAGGAGGACACCACAAAGCAGAGAATGGCAACCATTGAATGTGAGGACAGCCACAGCAATTTAGATACTATGCAAGCGGGTAGCATTAAGGGTTTAGGCTGATGGACATCCATCCAAGTCCATCCCCATAATACAAACGAGCTAGATGTCGTCACAGAGTCCCCTTCTGGAGATGGTCTGAAAAAATATTTATGCCTTTCACGTGTTTCTCTTGAAGTTTCTTCCATCTATCATTTAGCACATTAGGGTGTCGGACATGAAAGTTATCTCGGATGACCACAGGTAAACCGAATGTGTAAACCAATGCTACGATTGCAAGTAAAAAAATAAAATGGAAATGAAAAAAGTAAATAAAGGAACAAAAGAAAAACGAAAAAGAACCTAAACAAAGGGAGCAGTATTTTGATACTTGAAATCAATCAACTCAAGCGTAAATTACTCAAGAGAAGAGCATGAAATAACGGCGACAACAAACTACGGCACATACATGAGCGGGGAAACAGGCTCCGATTCTCGAAGCTGGGATGCTCCAATCTCACCCTCTTCTCGACTGGTATCCTCCGTGCTGCATGTGTCACTAGAATCGTCATTACCCATCACAGTATCTCTGCCGTGAACATACGAGTTATCAAAGCCTAGTGTGGCTATATTGAGCGTTTCATTGACAACTTCATGCTCTCGTAATCTACGCAGCTCGGCGCCAGCGTGTTTGGGTGCTGTCTGACTCATATCCATGTCTACATCCATATTAAAGTCTCCTTCATTGAGAATCTTTCCTCCCTTGAAAGCTGCATTTCCTTCGGGATGTTTATCTCCAGCAATACTATTCGTGGCAACTTGACTTGCAGCATATTCTGCTCCATCATCACTGATCCTCCGACACTCTTCCTTCGCGCAATCACGTTCAGCACTGGAAGAGTCGGATTCCCCATGATCTGAAGCAGGCGTGGTTATTGCCCAGCTCCCAGCTACCTCTGATGCGATAAGATCTGCTGTACACAAGGAATCTCTACGACACCTTCTGACGTCTCTAGCGTCCTCTTTACATGTTGACCCTGCTCGTAATGTTGCAAGAGAAATCCTTCGATCTGCTGTAGACATATTTCCAAACCACAGATTACAAACTAGTAAACATAAGTCTCTGCTTTACACCCCTTAGGTGCAAACCAATTCACAACATTATAGATCTAAATAAACCTCAAGTCACGATACTGGAGGCAAACTCGAACAAGACATATGCAGGTAAACTTGATCCTTATAACAATTTCCTTACCATCCGCGCTATCTTCCCATCGCTCCGTATTGTCTAGCAAATACCCGGTACGAAGTCCCGCATGATCAGGCCGTGCAGTTTCTTCTATGATAGGTTCACCTTCATCTCTGTGAAGTGTCGGGGCACCATCCTGACTAGTGCTACGGTCCTCATTAGCACCAACCCCTCCAGACCTAGCTCTCGGAGATGGACCTGAAAGGCATAAACAAACTTTTATCTTCTGGAATCTCTTGCGATTAGTAACTAATTGACTACGGGAAGATTCAGTGACCAAGCAATACTCATGTCCAAGTTGGGGGTCCATGCTGATCGCAAGCCAGGCTTGGAGTGCATTCCTGCTTGAAGATGTATTAGTAGCCACGGGAAAGTACTAATGACATCTATTGTAATAGCAAATTAGATTCATCACGGAGCTTATTAGATTTCAAACCACGAAAACTCAATAAAAATTAACTTCAAACTAGATGCGCAAGTCTAAATAGACAGCCGCCCCAACATTACAATTTGTCAGCACTGTCAAGCACAATTATCTCCATCCTTCCTGTCAGTAACTAGTGGCAACCGAAGATCAAGTATGCTTATCATCAACCTTTTCCCCAGCAATTTCATGAGAATGTGAGTATCAATAGAAGATTGAGTGTTCAGATAAATTAAAATAAAATTGACATAAAACATCCTAAGAATCAACACAAAGCCATAATTCATGAGCTCTTCAATAAAAAGAATGCAGATGAACAGTCTTAAAAAAATACACTATTGAAACAAGGGTGTTCTCTGCTGTTTGAGGTAAAAGTGCCCACCACTGCCGCTGATCACTTTCAAGACTGTCTCATGCCAACCATGGATCGCAAACAAAATTCCTCCTCCACTTTAGCACCTGGCATTATAAGGGACATCGTTACACACCTTCCAATTTAGTTTCTTGATGAAGTAGCTGCGTACACCCGAAATCAGCATTTGCAGTCTGAATGGAACCAACTTCTCCATTCTCTAGCCGAGTATCTCCGACTTCACCGCTTGTTATTTGCAATAATTCACCCTCAAGCATGTGCTGAGAATGTCCAGTCTGCACGCAAGTGGGTGCCGAAACATTTCCAACATTTAGGACTTGTGTAGGAGGGATATAGACATCCGAGGACCGTATAGCAGATTGGGAAGCTTTGGAACAGTCCGCTTGTTGAGTATCTCCATCGGTATCATCATAGGTATCAGTTTCTTCGCTACTCTCGTCAACATGAACTAGAATGCGCTTGGTACCAATCTCTCCGCCCCTAAAAATTTGCATGGGCCGATCCCCCGATGTATTTGGAGATGTTCCTCGCAATTCCTCCATTCGCTTGCTGCTTTGGTGCTCAGAGTAATGTACAGGACCTGGATGTGCTTTAGCGTACGGACTTCTTATACGAACATTTGGAACATTAGTATGGTCGTAATCATTATCACTGTCACCATCTTCAAGAGTTCGAATCATCGTTGATAGCTGGTCCTGCTGCCTCTGCTGCAGTTCAGCTATTTCTGCGGCGGTGGAATGAAATGCTCGCAGTTGAGTTTCTCTGCTAGATAAACAAAACATGCACCTTAGGAGGCCACAACAGACATTGCTGACTACTTCCAAGTCTCGAGTGAAATCTTCGAGCTCATTCAAGGTGACAAAATAAATCTTGGTGGCAAAAAAAAAAAAACTTGTATCTTAAATGACATACAAAACTCAGTTTCACTCATCGTAAGGAATTAATACATCACTTTTTCATTAGAAAACCCACGATGTACTAGTGTAGTACGTACTCAGGGCCGATTTCATTGTCCAAGTGTCACCTTGAGAAAGTTGCTGGAGATAGAAACTGATGCAAAAACTGTCGTGCATAAAATGTTAAAATTAAGCAATGGGTGACATACCGAAGGACAATTCGTTCTCGTGCACCTTGCAATCGTTGCTTTTCCAGTTTAAGATCCCTGGATGCTGCTTCCATCTCCACTTCCAACCTCGCAATCTTTGCCAGGGCACCCTCCTTTGCTGTCTATTTGACACCATAAATCCTCAACATAAATACATGCTGGAAAATAAAAACAAAGGATAGTACCAAAGGCAGCGTATAGCAGAATAAATTTCTTCAATGAAAAGGATATACAACAGAAACGGCGCACCTTCTCATTTTCCAACTCTCTATTTGTCTGCCGAAGTTTATCTTCAATTTCAGCTGCTCTCTAAGACGTGGAAAGAAAAGCCCCACACATTCCGGGATCAAAAAATGCTTTGGATAAAGCAGACAAAGAGAAAAGTACATTTTATAAGATAGACGTGGTAAGGATTTCAAGTAAGAAAGTACACAAACAAATATGATGTAAGAATCAGCTCCTGAGTCTTGAACTTAACCAACATAGGAATTAAACAAGAGATCTTACATTATGAGCTGATAAGCTCAAAGCTTTTTCCTCCTGAAGTTGAGATTCTAACCGCCGAGCCCTATCTTCTGCAGCAACAACGGCACCCCTTTCCGAATCCTGAATGTAAGAGAGGATAATAGTGCAACACATTAAATTTGTGAATAGCGAAGGATAATTTCTAAAAAGAAATTCGCTGATGCTCGAATATAGCAACCAAAAGCAACCAATAGCTCTATTAACATGAATGAAAATGAGAGATTCCTATGAGCGTACAAGCTTCTTGCGCGAGATTTCAGCAGCCATACGGTACTCCTTTTCCCCTTCCTGCACAACTCAGGCGCAAATTAATGAGCAAATACTCTAATAGTTGTCGTGTCAGCTTGAGAGTAGGCTTGAAGCAATAAAATTGATCATAATGAGCTGGTCACATCCCCGTCCATGACATAAAGTATCGTTAAATAAGAGAGGCTCGAAAACGCAGTTACTCATACTTCGTATCAACGTTCCAATCAGAACATGATCAGAATTCTTGGACTACAAACGATCACGAAAAGGTGATCTAAGTCTTACAAGGAGGAGGGAGCAATGGACCTGAAGAGCTACGATGATATTATTTTGCTGCTCAAGCTGACGAGCGGCTGCTTCCTCGTGGCGTTTCAGCTCCTCTGCAGCTTCCATTCGGATTCGGTCCAAAGATGCCCTTAAACTAGCTTCTGCATCTGCCCGTTCTTTACTAATCTTGAACCGCTCATCTTCGAGACATCTTTGAAGCTCCTCCATCCTCATTTTTAAACTGGCAGTTCATGTACCACAATGATAATGTTAAGCATGCATGAATGAAAAACCATGATGTGCATAACAAAATATAACTACAAGCAGAAGCAAAGTTAAACCAAGCAACAATCAACGAAGAACCTGTCGCGTGTATGGAACTCATAAAATGTCTAATTGATTTACAAAAACATCATTTTATTCACAAAAGAATTCTGCATCGAGCAAAACATGAAAAGATATATACCCGTCTATAACTTCTTCAGCATCAACTCGAGATTTAGCTTCAGAAGCAAGTCGTTGTTCAAGGAGCTCAATACAACTTTCTTGTTGTAAACGTACTGCTGAACTTGTTTCAAGATCCAACTCTTTGGTGGCAAGAGATATCTTCAACTCCTCCAGTTGGGCATTGAACTTCTCTGCTAATGTTGTTTGTAAATCCTTCAACTCCTAAAATACTCATGAAGAGAAGTCAATACATATACACAAATTAATTCTCTAATATACTAGTTTTGATGCAGGAAACACTACAAGCTTAGAAATACCCAAGAACCACATCACCCAGAATAATCATGGAAAGCTTCTGAAAGAGAAAGCCAGCAATAGTCACAATGAAGAATGAGATGTAAAAATAAGTGGATAAAAAACTTCTGTGAGTAAACAAACATTAAGACTTGGATCATCAAACACATGAGGGAGGTACTAACAGAAGCATGACGAGTCTCAGCACTCCGATACTCAGAGCGCATCTTCTCAACCTCCAGCATGTAGGCCTCCACTTGGAGCCTTAGCTCCTGCCCCAATAATACCCGACGCCATCTCTCATGTGATTAAGAGCTTCTGAATTCATGTTATAATTGATGCACATGCAAATCCTTATTCTACAAAAAGAGCAGGATCAGAAAAATTACAGGTTCGTATTCAATACTCAAGATTAAATAAAGATTGAGGCCGGATATCCTTCAAGAGAATCTACAGAAAGGAAGTCTCGCGAGATATGCAACAAAGAGTATGGAGCACACTTCATTTGAACGTTGCAATTGGCGAACATCATTGAGCATGATGGGACCAGAAACTCCACCACTGCCAAGGCCCTTGATACGCTTTCCATCCCCACCAATTGTTACCCCATCATCTAGAACATAATACAATATGCAATCACGAAACAGAAGATATCCGGCTCTTCGAAATATTGCCCTAAGAACCAATTTGGTCGTATAGCGTCCAAAACATACTTTCGTACATTAGAACTAGTAGTGTAGTTCAGCTCTGAAATGGAAAGCCTAACGTACGAAGTCTTATTCACAAAGTTGATGTACGAGGATGGACAAAACTACTTCAAAACAGGGAAAAAGACGATGCAGCCCTGACATGCACATTATCACAGAGAGAAAGCTGTTTACCAGGGGGAGAGCCCTTCCGCTTGTTGGATGGTCCGTCAGCCTCGCTAGGTGGGATAGATGGAAGTGGCACAGGTCCGATTGTGGAATCAGATACCTCCCGGAAGACAAATGCAAAAGCAGTGACTGTTCTAGAAAGACACCAGAATATCTGGTTCAGACGTTCACAAGTCGTGCCAATACATGTGCAGACGGAATGTTGTAAGCACATGCGATGCATGCCCCGAAAACGAAAGTGCTAAAAACGCGAATCTTGCAAGGATTAAAATTGTAACTCACCGTCCTCTGGCGTACTTACTAAGGATATAACATCTCCATGTCGAAGCTGAACTTCCTCGCCGTTCCTCTGCAACCTTTGGAAATTGACAAAGGTTCCATTGGAACTGTACAATGCACCCAAATCCTCATATTACCAGATGTTTCGGAGAATCGGATTTGATGAGCACCTTGATTAAAAAAAATCGTAGTTCACGTACAAAACACGACGTCCAGTGAAGCAACCAAAGTCGGGTGACACACCTCGAGTCTCTTATGCACCCTACCAGTCGATCGGTAGCAGCATTGGTAATATTGTTGGTGGACAAGATTCTTCCATCTTCACCTAAATATCTTCGTGAAATGGTGCAATGCCGACCACTGACATTGGGGGAATTAAACTGGCAGCTGACCTCTTTGACAGTGCGACCCAAAACGTGGTCCGAGTTGTGCAACATGATGTGAGATCCCTGCGCAAAGTAGAAGATAAGTATAAAAGTGGGTAAAAATATGAGAAGAGAGGTTGAGGAAGGAGAGTAAGATATGTCGAACCTGGGGACGTTTGCAGGCATTGGCGGAGACAGCGGTGAGCATAGCCCAGGGAGCGGGGGCAGAGGAGCGGGAAAGAGGACAGGGCTGTTGGGCGAGGATGGAGGCGAAAGCCATAACTCCCATGGAGGAGCGCTCCGACGAGGAGGCAACGGCAGCGTTGGACAAGGGAGCGGGGACGGCGGACGAAGCCATGGCACAACAACCATAGCACAGGGGGCGCGAAAAGGGAAGTGAAGAGAAATAGAGAGACAGAACAATGGCGATACCAAGGAACAGAAGATGAAGAGGAGGGAAGGAGGGAGGGAGGGGTAGTGAAAATGCTTTAGAACGCAGAGATTCGGTCCGACCTTGCCTCGGTATATTCCCCGTTTGACTCCCTTTTCTAATCACCCCGCGGTTGAAGGTCTACAATCTCTCGCGGCTTGTTCGGGTATAGGTGCAGGTATTCACATTGGCGGCGCCACGTAGCGTCCCCCATGTGTGTCGTTCTCTGAGGCATGCCATGTTCGGGTATAGGTGCAGGAATTCACATTGGCGGCGCCACGTAGCGTCCCCCATGTGTGTTGTTCTCTGAGGCATGCTAATATGTAGGGATATGTGCCTATTCAGAAACTTCAAGGCCACAGTGACATAAGCCATCATGATGATTATGACTCCGCTTTTCGGCGTGTCATTCGGTAAAAAAAATATTTTCCAGACAAGTTGGTTGAAATTATGTTGGCAACAAATGCGATGCAAGTGGTGTGGTTTAAAGTGTTCGAATTAAATCTTGAAACCTACGAACAAATGTGTTAATTTGTTTAATAAATACTTGTGTATAGTATTGATGGATTGAGTTTTTTAAAAATATTGAAATTGAAATTCTTGTGAAATCCTATAAATACAATGACCTTTGAAGTTTTGTAAGATTTGGTTCAAAAAATAAATAAAAATAGAAAAAAATATTATTACAAAAATTATAAAATAATCAAAATATAGAATCTTTTTTAATTTGGATGTTTATGCTAAAAACAAATTGATGGTAAGTAAGTTTTTGAAATGAATTTATAAACGATAAGAAATAAAATACCATTGCTAAAAATTACATAACTTTTTTGACAATTATATCTAATCAAATTTTGCAATTTATGAAATAATTTCTATGTTTTATAACATAAAATATGTCGTTCATGTCTTAAAATATTATGTATCTTGGTAATCGATATATTTTGATTTGAAGAATAGATGGTGTGTTTAGTTGTTAGTTTTAAAGATTAGAGTACTAATCTTAAATATTCAATGTTCAGAACATTTAAATCTTGGTAAAAAAAATTAATTTAAAAAAAAATAATCATTTAAAAATTTAAAAATTCATGTTTGTATACTATTTTTATATAAAAAATTGTACTTAATTTTTTTAAGATGATTAAAATTATATACAAATTATTTCTAAAAAACTTTAAAAAATAATATTTTATAATTTAATAATATATTCTAAATTATGTTATTAATTGGTATTATTAATTAATATTTTTATTTGAATTAAAAAATATTTAATAAATATATTTATTTTAAGACAAATAATTTCTTTGTAAATTAAAATTTTAAGTAAATATGAGGAAATAAAGACCATTAATATGTATATATATATATATATATATATATATATATATATGCATAATTAATATTTTGTATAAATAAGCTTTTACTATTAGAATTTGAAAATGGAATTATTGTTATTAACATTGGATTTTTATGACATTATTATTGAAGATCAATAAATCTTTATTAAGTCATCACTATTTAAAACTAAATTCTAATCAATTGTTAATAATAAAAAAAATAAGGATTTATGTAAGTAATTAAAGTAAGAACTATAATTTTTTTATAGCAGCGAGATTAAGAATAAACTAAGATTATATTGACTAAAAAAACGTGATGAAGATGATTATTAATGAAGTTTATTTATATTTGATATAATTATTTTTTTAACTTTTTAATATAAAGGATATTGATGTCAAGGACAAGAACCTAAAGAAGATATGTAAATAAGTAAAATTTATATGAAAGAGAAATGAAAAAATGGAAATAAGAAATTATATTTATTTAAAAAGAAATTGTAATGACTATTGCCAAAAGATAAATAAATTAGAGATCCTTGAAATTAAACAAAAAGTAAGAAATGAATTGATAAGAGTGAAGAAGGTTTCACTCTTGTCTTATTTATACTATTTAATTAGAAGATACATAGCGATATTTTATAAGATTTCTAATACATATGTAATTTGCATGACACATGTCTAACTGTAATAAAAGTTTCATATATGTGCACCACAAATTTAGCTTTTACAATAAGCTACTAATATGTGTGATATCTAACTAACTTATTGGCCAAAGTTTCAACCTATTAATCACCTGTAGATATGTATAAAAGTAAAATCATATCTATAAAGCTTTTAAGAAGTTATTTTATAAGATATTATGAAATTTATCTATTCCTACCTACTTCTATTTATACATATTATCTAGATAATTGTTAGAATAAATATATATGTGCAAGATATTTGTTAAAGTAACTAAGTAAAAATAAAAGATATTACTTTAAATAAGTTGCTTATTATCAAAGGATCGTAAGATCAAAGATCATAAAAGATATTCTAGGATATTTTGAAATATACTAAAATATGCTTGAATATGCTAAGATCCTAAAAGGTATCCTAGGATCTATTGAAGAAGAAGTACTATAAAGTCACAATACTTAACATCAGCAAGTTTGTATATAAAAAAAATATGGAATAAGATATTTCTCACTTCCAACATCCTTTATTTATATGTGGTGGCTTCTATCCTAATGCACAACTTTCATCCTTTAATGATTATATCCATCCAACATTCTATTGAAACTATTCATTGTTATCTTATCTACTATAAGAATATATTTTTAGCATATTTTGTACATTCTTAAAATCCTTGATTTGTTCATCTATTTTATCTCTTGGCCTACTTATATACCAAGAGCCAACCCTTTAACCAATAGCAACTAACCTAAAGTAATATCATCTATAATTTATTTCTATAGTTTAATACTCCCACTTTGCTATTGCTCAAAGACTTTCAATACTAATGCCTTTATCAACATATGATGTCCATCCTTTACTAATGCCTTTGTCAACAAATCAGCAAGTATGTCTTTTGTTGTACAATACTTTATATCAATCACTCTCATTTCAATTTTTTCTCTTACAAAGTGATGTTGAATGTCAATGTGCTTGATCTTTGAATGATGCTTTAGATTTGTTGCAAATAGAAGACATCCTTGATTGTCATACTTCAATAGAATTGCTTTTATTTACAATATTCTAATATCATATAGATGTTGTCTTAGCCATATTGTCTCCATTGTACCATGCCTTGGTACCATGTACTCCACCTCCATTGTTGATCTTGTAATTATTGGTTGTTTCTTATAATTCCATGAAATAGCTCCCACTCCAATAAAGAATATATATCTAGTTTTTGATTTCTATTATTTGTATCTCAAATTCGATTTGCATCAAAATAATCATGCAAATTAATGTTATTACCTCTAATATATAATTTGAAATATAAAGAACCTTTTCAGTACCTCGTAATTATTTTGATGGTTGTCCAATGGTTTGGTTCAACCTTTGATATATGTTAGCCACATCACTCATTGCATATGCAAGATCCATCCTTTTGCCAACCATTGTATATGTAAATGAACTCATTATTGCCTTGTATAGAAGACCTTGTATTTGACCTTTAATTTTAGCATACTCTTTATTAGTGAGCTTCATCAACTTCAAATTGACTTCTATAAATGTTTCAATAAGCTTACACTCTTGCATATTGAATTGTTTCAATATTTCTTCGATATACTTGCTTTCGCTCATTCTGATGGTCTTCTTAGCATGATCTCTCACAAATTCCACTCCTAAAGAATAGTAAAACTCTTCCACATCACTCATCTCATACTCCTTTTCTAACTTTGCCTTCAACCAATCCATCATCTTCATAACATTGATTAAGATGATCAAATCATCACTATAAAAGATGATAATCAATATGAACTCACTTAATTGCTTTACGTACAAAAAATAATCATATACATTCCTTTCAAATCCTTCATTCACAAAGCATGTATTAATATGTTGGTTCCATATCCTTGGAGATTGTTTGAGCCTATATAAGATTTTTTTCAACTTACAAATAAGATTTTGTTTGCCTTTTTTTATAAATCCTTGAAGTTGCTCCATGTAGATTTTTTTCTTTTAGATTTCTATTCAAAAAGCGATTTTTACATCCATTTGATGCATTTTCAAGTCCATTGTTACTCTAATTGCAATAATGATTCTAATGATGATGAATTTGGCCATGAGAGCAAATGTCTCATTGAAATTCATACTAAAAACCTTTAAATAGCCTTAAGCAACCAATCTAAACTTGTATCTCTTAATATTATCTATTACATTTTTTTTGATTGTAAACACCCACTTACAACCAATTGAAGATTAATTTGGTGGAAGTTGAATCAATTCCTATGTTCCATTGTCTATAAGTGATTTGTACTCTTTTTCCATAGCATTCTTTCACTTCATAGCATCCGTTGTTGTATTATGTGGCGTTTGGCTTGAAAATGCATCAAACACTTGGCTATGGAAGATAAAAAGAAAATTGCAACAATAAGTCCTAATAACTCTAATAAATTCTTAAAAAAATTATAATTAAATATTAGCAAATATAATCAAATATCAATCAAATTCAATCAAAATTGCAAAGGAATTATATAAGAAACACAAAGTATTTCTAAAGACCCTTTAAAGAAATCATAAAGAAATAATAGAAGAATTTAAAAATATACTAAAATAGAAATATTAATAAAATATTAAAATAAAAAACTTAATTAAATCCTAATCAAATTCTAAATAAATCCTAACTAAATCCTAATTAAATCCTAATCAAATCCTCATAAAATCTTAAAAAATCCTAATCAATTTTTAAATAAATTCCAATCAAATCCCAAAAAAACTTAATCAAATCCTAATCAAATCTTAAAAAAATCATAACCAAATCCTAATCAAATCCTAAACAAATTTTAATCAAACTCTAATAAAATCCTAACGAAATTCTAGTAAAATCCTAACAAAATCCTAGTCAATTCTAAATAAATCTTAATCAAACTCTAAACAAATTCTAACTAAATCCTAACCAAATCCTAATCAAATCCTAGTCAAATCCTAAGCAAATCCTAATCAATTCTAAACAAATCTTAGTTAAGCCCTAAACAAATTTTAATCAACCCTAA